CTAAAGCACTTCTCCCGGACCAACACTGCAATATAAGCTCCACAACGCACCATATTTTGCCAGGACACAAGAGCAAGATGCTGCACAGCTTTAAATACACAAAGAAACCCTATCCTGCACGTTATCTTGATTATGCAAATGAAAATCCTTGCTCCTGGCACTAAGAATGAAGGCTCGAATTGCCTCCGCAGCAAAGTCACCTTGGGAACACCTAGGAGTTTGAGGTTTTCAGGAAGGTGGGGTTAAACAGCAGTTGTAAAGAGTGCCCCGACAGCGCGTGAGCCAACAGAAGGGACTGCATAATGCCAGAGCCTGAAGGAACGATTTGTGGAGAGTGCTGGAAGGACACGGCACCATCCACCCACGTGTGATCCAGCGGTTCTGCTACCTTGACTGATAATCAGAAAGTGGAAAGCTAAACTTATCATACCGACAGAAGGAATCCTCCTCCTGCATGTCCTCAGCAAGGCAGCACAGTACAAAAACTGAAGAAATGCTTGTGCTTAACGCACCACGAACACAGAACATCCTACACCATTAGTCCTAGAAAAATCACTCATCAGCAGAAAACTTCCACGAATCAGCCACAACGTTCACCCAAAACCCGCAGTGAACTGCGAGCGAACTCCACCCTCTCGTTAAAGATTTCACTGCTATAGAAACTGTGATTAAACACACAGGGCCATGAATCAGCTACCTGAAACAAAGGTACGCCTCGGCCGACACGGGAGTGCCCAGCAGCAGGGCACAGACCGGCGTTGTGGGCACTGGGGGCAGCCCATGGGACCCCCAGTATCTGCAGACCTGTGATTTTACTGAGATCCCACAAACCTTTAACTTTCCTCACCTTCCGGGCTGCTTGGTTTAAGGGCCATAGGAAGGCTGGGGGAAGATGGCCTGGCTTAGCAGCAGGTCCCAGTCTAAGGGCTGAACAAAGTGGATTTAAAAGGAGGTTTAATATTGCCTGGAGACTGCTGCTCTCAAATCAGAATAAATCCTCCAAAAGAAGAGATTACCCAGAAATTTACTAGTTGGAAATGTTAATATAACCAGTGTTTATTCAAGGCCTGCTGCTCTCTCCATGCAGGAGCATCACCTACACCGTTTATATGAAAGGGAAACAGATGCCTTGTAGTTTCTCCCGCCACCTCCCTTTCCACGCTGAAACACAGCACAACAGCTTTATAAATACCACTTCCCGCGAGTAGCAGTAATTTACAGAAGAATCAAGGCAAGCTTGCTCTTATTACACTCGCAAAGCTCTGAAAAATCCTCCCCCGTAAAGAAACACCACCGAAAACAATACCCACGGGCAGATAACTCCAGTGCGAAGCCTGGCAAAGCCTTCACATAAAGAAAAAGCGCAGAGCTCAAACTTTAAAATCGCGTTCCCAGTGGCCAACACGCATTCGGACACGGTGCAGACGAAGAAGCAACTGCTCGAACGCCGCTGATTCAGCCAAACCACAGCAGCAGTTACCCTCCACGCTGCTGGACTTACCCAACGCTCAGATAAAGGCTTCCTCCTGTTACTCACGTTCTCCTTCCTAAAGGCCGCATCGACACCCTGCGCAACACGTAAGAGATGGGACCCAGACCAGTATAACCTGGCTGCTAATTACGGCCCTTAAGGCTGAGAGGCAATTAATATTTCCCTCTAGCTACGAACAAGAGCATGACTACGCCCTCGCTAAGCACTTTTAATCTTGCGGAGGATGAAACAGGTACAGGAAAGTGTGGCTTGCCTGACATCAAACAGCACGGCAGCGGCACAGCTGGGAGCTAAATTAGGCCTCCTGTCCACCCAAACATCCTTATTTTCCCCGTGCTCAGAGACTAGTTGACGGGTACAGAACCCAGCCATTAGGGTTCAGATTGAAGGCTTCGTTCTGGAGCTAGAAGCAGATGGGAACTACTGATTAAGGTAATCACCGGTGTCAGCCTGATTCCGGGGATGCAGCAGTCTCGCAGCGCTCCCTCGCTCTGCTTTCCAAACCTGCTGCGTTCACACAGCGACCTCCCTGCCTTATGACAGCTTCCCAACGCACTGCAGCATGACCAAGACAGCCCAAAAAGCTTGCTTGGTGAATTCACCTGGAACGCTTCCCACCTTCTCTCCACCAACGCCTCCAGAAGACACGGCGGGGCTGTCACTTGGGTGCGTTACGAGACGAGGTGCAAAGGAGCCAGCCTGAATCCCGGCGTCAGGCAGAGCAGCTGAGCAGCCCACGCATGAGCAGAGTTTTCCAGCCTGGGCACTTCCCTTCCTGTAAACCCCATTTATCTTCAAATCCAGAAAAAAAAAACACACCGGTATTTATGAGACAAGTGGAACAGAACAATAACAGCAGCAAAACCCACTCCTTGTAACACCAGGTGCCAGGCTGAGTTAGCAGGTATGAATTTTGCTCCAGTTTCCCTGCTCCATCAGCATCCACCCTCTTAACTATCCTCACATTGCACCGAGCAGGTAACAGAAAAGCCAGATGGCCTAAAGCCACAGCTAATTTCAAAACTGCTGTAAAACAGCACAAGCCAAGACAGCCTGACAGCACTCATCTGACAATTCCACCCCAAAGGTTGATATTGCTCTAAAAAGGCGCAGCTGAGCCAAGAGAAATCATGTTTAAACATGCCTGCAATCTCACTGCTGGCTTTTTTTAGTCAATCATTACGGGACTGTACGTTAGAAGCTGATTTGGAGGTACAAGACGAAAAATTCTGTGCCCTTGCTCACCTGTGGGCCTGATCCACAGCCAGGAGGAACAGGATCCAGGTCAAGTTAAAGCAGGATACGAGCCCTAATTTACCTCTCAGCACAAGGTAAATGAAGTCTCGGTGACCCTACAGGGACCATGCCCCTTTCTCTCCTGCTACTAATCAGAGATCTAAGGGAATAAGAGTTTGCTTCTAATTATTTGCTCTCTTTTGGCACCAAACACCCTTTACAAGGGAACAAACCCCAGTGGACTTCTCCTACTTCTGCCATTTCCTACCCAACAGCAAATTAGACCTGGTTTGCACCAGACAGGCTACACTTAATACCCCCAACAAGACGAACGCTGGCAGCACAAACCAGCTGGCATACCCCTTAGTGTCCTCTGCGAGGTCCCAGCTGATGAAGACTCCCCAGGGTGCCCTGTGCATGGATCAGCAACCAAAATTCTGCGGGTCCCACAATTGCTGCTGCCCACACTGCGATGGAGCAGCTTGGAAATGGGTTCCCAGAGAACCCGAGGCAGCCAGAGCCCTATCCAAATTCTCTGTCCCTGCAGAAACCTGCCTGAAATTTCCCACACCAGGATGTGCAGGCTCGCTGGCAATGGCCATACCTGCAAACCTGCTTCCTGCAGATCCTGACAACACACCAAAACCTTTTGAGCATGCTTTGGAGATCTGAGTAATCACTAACACCCCCCCAGCAGCCCCTCTGTGTATCTGCAGGGTGGTCTTGCCAAGACAGAAGTAATATTGACAGGAATTACGCTTCCATCAGGCACTGCTCGAACAGACGACTCCCCCCAGCCTGTATCAGTGACTTTTACTTGGCAGCTCAAAAATTCCCGATTTGACTTTGCGAGTAGGAGAGGGAGAATTAGACAGGAGAACAACCGTCGCAAAGGCATGTGAGTACAGCAGATGCCAAAGTCCCCTTCAAATTGGCTCAGACACAGCTGCACGCTTTGTTCAAAGCTCACTCCCCGAAGGCGACGACCTTTGGCTTCTCCCCTATCCATAAGCACCTCTGGAAGCTTCACGTCCACGAGCAGCCTCTGTGAAGCCACAGGCACCAGAGCAAGTGGCAGGGAGTGCTGGCTGGCAGTCCTTACCTCCTGGGTCAGAAGCTTTTTGTTTTTTCGCTGGGACCCCCCCCCACAACACGGGGTTTGTGGCAGCAGAGCCCTGAGCAAGCCCTGGTGCTAAACGCTGCGCCGGTACGGAACAAGACGATGCCTCTCAAACCGTGAGCCAAGTTTACAAATCAAGGCTTCTCAGCAGGCCAATTTTTGCTTGCTTACGCCCTTGCAAGCTTACTGTCTGCAGGGCAGACAAGCAGACACCTTCACAAGGATGCACCCCTCCCGCAGACAGGCAGTCAATGAAGGAAGCCCTCCCGGACCTCTTAGGAGGCTGCTTCCAGCTTAAAATCGATGGCGGGGATTAATCTCGATCGATTTTAGACAAGTCCGTGGCAGCACATCTCGAAGGGGGCCACTTGTGTGGATTAGTTAGCTAAAGGGAAACCGGGCTGTCAGTGCCCAACCTGTCTGCCAGGGGGTCCGTGCTGTCAGCAGCAGCCTCCTGGAGCCCACAAGGTGAGAAGGTTCAGACCCCTCCGTTAAATCCCACTCAACTTCACCAAAGTCCAACGATCTTCCCCAAATCTGCTTCTGAAGGCAGGCAGCTGGAGCAGTCAGGCTCGGAGCTCAGCACAGGGGGGTCGGGAAGTGCCGGGCTTGCACAACCCAACCTCATCACACGCCCCTTCTGTGCCCCACCATCCAGCAGACACGGTTAATTACTTGCTGATAACGCATCGCCCGGCTCCGCTCGGGAGCTCAGCCCCGCAGCTGGCAGGTAAGCCATCCCTAACTGTTTTGTAATCAGCGTGCCCAAAGCACAAACACAAAAGAAGAAAGTTAACAATCTGTTTACCCACTCCCTCCTCCCACGGCCGCTGCTAGCCAACGGATTGGGGGGGAAAAAAAATAAATCTATTCCCAGGGTTGAGCAGAGAACACTCCTTTGGAGCGCTCTCAGCTTTCCTGTCTTTGCCACTGGTGCTTGATGTTACTTCACACAATCCACTCATTCAGCTCCGAGACGAAGCCCGTTCCTTGGGCTAATAGCATTAAAAGCCTCTCTCTGGAGATAATTAGTCCTCCCTCCCCCACCCCGTCCCCAGTGCACCGTGGAAAGAGCACACAGTCCTGGGTAAACAAAGAAATTCAGCCGGCGTGCCAGGCGGGCTGGAGCTGGGCAGGAAGGCTGCCTCTCACCTCCCTATCTCGGCACAGCTGATAGCCAGAACCCAGCCGACACCACGGGCACCAGGACGAGCAGCACCTTCAGATTGATGACCTCCTCCATGGCTACAGCATCACCAAGACAAGTCCCTAGCTGCGAGGAGCAGAAACATCAATAATTAGTCACCCTGCGAGGTTTTGTGTGGTCACCCCCCGACCACGACAGATCAGGACAGGAGGGAACGCGCAGCCTTTTACACCCATCCCAAACCCATCGGTGAATCACGCCCTTACAGACACCAAACTCCTCCGGGGCAGAGAGAAGTTAAGGATGTGAAAGCCCAGAAAAAGCCCTCTGAGACCCTCCAGGAGCCGTGTATCCCGGCTGTCCTATCCCCACGGCGCTGCCTCACCTGAGAGGCACGCCAGGAATGCGCCCTTTGCTTTGGGGGCAGGCTTCGGGGGGCGCCCGGGGGCCCCCAGCCGCAGGTGGGACCGCCAGGGGACGGACACGACCCCGCGCACAGAGAACTGGAAACAGTTCTCACCACGGCACCGACAAGTCAGCAAGAGCCACTAATTAAACGCCAAAAATAGACCTCTGAAAGGACTTCTTTCTTCCCCTCTCGACACAAAGCCTAACGCTGCCATGGCAGCGCATCCATCGGCTTTGCACGGGCTCCCGTCCCGCTGGCAGAGAGCTCGCTCAAATCCACACACAAACCCACACAGCACACGTACGTGGGACATCCCAAACAAATAAAAACGGAATCGGAGGGAGCGTGACGTGGGGCTCCCCTTCCCTGAGCTCGCTGTGCTCCCACCACCACCCACGGCAGCAGCGAGGTGCCGACATCACCCCCCGTCCTCGCGCTCCCTGCAGCCCCAAAAAATACCAAATACTGAACACGTCGAGGTGACCACGGGGATATCTGCCACCTTGCTTCATGCCCAGCCTCAAAAAAATATATTATCAGTGCCCGAAGCCCCGCTGCCCTGCACATCCCCTGCAAGACCCCATTTTTGCACGGCTCCTAACTGAACGCTCAGCAGCGGCTGACAGACCTACAGGAGCTGCGGTGTCAGCGGTTTTTAACACACGTGATACCCCAACACACGCCAAACACAATGAAATTTGATCAAAATAGAAGCCATTTGTTTAAATACAAGCGATTTGGCTCCCCGAACTGTCATCAAATTAAACTGGAAATCAAATTAGCCAGGGACTGAATGAAGGAGAAGGCTGCCTGAGCACAGATCACCGATCTGGCGGCACGGAAACAAGGAAGCAATCACAGCCCCCTTGTTGGTGGCAGCCTCTCTGCCCCGTGCCCCAGCAGGACTGACCCTTCCCTTCTTTTTTAGGGCTTTTTAGGGCCATCCAGCTGCTTCCTGGTGTTCCAGAAGGGAAAATTCCCTTACAAAAGCACCCTCCGAGGCATCACCTGAGAGCAGAGCGAGCCCTGCGAAAGCCCAACAGACACTGCTCAAAACCACGTTAATTTAGGACAGATCAGCTGCTTGTGGTGCTGGTGGAAAGGACAAGTTTAAACCAACTCCGAACAAGAGAAGGGATTTGTTACTGTCACCATCCAAGGTATTAATTTAAATTGGCACAGCCGCGTGCCAACAAGATTCCATCATAACTGGCCTTCTTTTGGCTGTATTCCCCCCACTCTCATTTAAGAAGGAATCTAAGCTATGTAAGATTACAGTTTTAGGTCTTGTCTACTCTGAAGGGTAATTTGGATTAATTTAAATAGTGCGTTTGAAGAGCACCAGGCGTTTACACTGAAATCATAGCAGGCAGAGGACTTTAATTACACTTCTGTGCAACTTCCACAGCACTAGCACGTCAGGAGAACTCAGCCGAGCCGATCCTGTTACCTGCCAGGGCAGCACCACACAAAAACCCCAACAATCCCCTCGCAACAGGACCCTGTCTGGGACCCGATGATGTTTTCCAAAGGCAGCTTTCAGGTTTACGACTCACTCGTTCCTACCCAAGTCAAGGTTTCGTTACACTCTGGAGCAGAGGAGCAATCGCAGGCATTCACGTTTCTCTTCCTAGTTTGTAGGAACGACGCTTAGGATGGAGAAGGGCTTTAAATTCGTCCCGGGGCACGCAGCTCCCGCAGCCCTAACACCTCCTGGTGCCAGCCCAGAGGGGCACCGAGCCCTCACCTGCCTCCACCTGGACAAACACAGCCGGGTGTGGGATGAAGAGGGGAATAAATCAGGAGGAAAGCATTAAAGGAGCGCAGCGGGAGCGTTTTTAAGTTCCACAGAGCACTGGGACGGGATGGAGCAAACAAAGAATTGGCAGCGGGGCTGCCGCAGAGGGCAGAAGGCGAGGCGCAGGCTGTGACCACCACGGGACGGCACAGCCGGGGATTGGCACTGAACGGCCCCGGCTGGGGGACACCCAGGGGTGAAACAGCCCCCGGGCACACAACGGGGCATGGACCCCAGGATTGGGCCCAGCACTGGGGCAGGAGGAGTGGGACCCCCCCCAACCCCCAAATAACCCCCCCAAGCCCCTCATAACCCAGCTTCATCTCTTCCTAACCCCCCCAGCTCCTCCTAACCCCCCTCACAACCCCTCATATATCCCTTCATAACCCCCCAGCCCCTCCTAAACCCCCTCACCCCCCTCATAACCCCCCTATCCCTACCTGACCCCCCTCACCCTCTCCTACCCCCCTTCAACCCCCTCCTAACCCTCTCCTAACACCCCCAGCCCCTCCTAACCCTCTTCAAGCCCCCTCACAACCCCCCAGCTCCTCACAACCCCCCCAGCTCTCCCTAAACCCCCTCACAACCCCCCCAGCCCTTCCTAAACCCCTCATAACGCCCCCAGCCCCTCCTAACCCCCCTCACAACGCCCCCAGCCCCTCCTAACCCCCCTCACAACTCCCCCTAACCCCTCACAACACCCCTCAGCCCCTTCCAAACCCCCTCAGCCCCCTTCTAAACCCCCTCCTACCCCCCCAGCCCCTCCTCACCCCCCCACAACTCCCCCCAGCCCCTTCTAACTCCCCCCCCACCCCCATAACCCCACTCTTAACCCCCCCCAGCCCCTCCTAAACTCCCTCACACACCCCCCCAGCCCCTCATAACTCCCCCCAGCCCTACGTAGCCCCCTTACACCCCCCCCAGCCCCTCACAACCCCCTCCCAGCCCCCCCCCGAGGGCCCCGCTCACAGCCGCCCCCCCCTCCCCGGCCGCCCTCCCGCCCTCACCTGCCGCCCGCCGCCGCTCCCCCGGGCCGGCCCCGCCGGAAGCCGGGAGGGGAGGGGGAAGGGGGGGCGCGGGGCATGCCGGGAGTTGTAGTCCCGGGGGCACGGCCCGAGGGGAGGGGCAGGGGGAGGGGACTGGGGGTAAAGGGGGGGCATGGGGGGGTATGGGGGTGATGGGGGTTTTGGGGTGATGGGGGTTTGGGGTTTGGGGTTGGGTGGTGGTGGGGTTTTGGGGGTGATGGGGGGGTTTGGGGTGGGTGATGGGGGGCTAAAGGGGTTTTGGGGTTCTGGGGGTTTTGGGGTGCTGAGGGTTTGGGGTGGGTGATGGGGAGATAAAGGGGTTTGGGGGGGTGCTGGGGGTTTTTGGGTCGCTGAGGGTTTGGGGTGGGTGATGGGGAGCTAAAGGGGTTTGGGGGGTGCTGGGGGTTTTTAGGTGCTGGGGGATTGGGGTGGGTAATGGGGGGCTAAAGGGGTTTTGGAGTTCTGGGGGGTTTTGGGGTGCTGGAGGTTTGGGGTGGGTGCTGGGGGCAATGGGGTTTGGGGGGGTGTTGGGGATTTTTGGGGTGCTGGGGGTTTTGGGTCGCTGAGGGTTTGGGGTGGGTGATGGGGAGATAAAGGGGTTTGAGGGTGCTGGGGGTTTTTGGGGTGCTGGGGGATTGGGGTTTGGTGTGGGTGATGGTTTTTTTGGGTTCTGGGGGGTTTTTGGGGTGGGGTGATGGGGGGGCTAAAGGGGTTTTTGGGGTTCTGGGGGGTTTTGGGGTGCTGAGGGTTTGGGGTGGGTGATGGGGAGCTAAAGGGGTTTTTGGGGTGCTGGGGGTTTTTGGGGTGCTGGAGGTTTGGGGTGGATAATGGGGGCAATGGGGTTTGGGGGTGTTGGGGATTTTTGGGGTGCTGGGGGTTTTGGGTCGCTGAGGGTTTGGGGTGGGTGCTGGGGAGCTAAAGGGGTTTGGGGGGGTGCTGGGGGTTTTTGGGGTGCTGGGGGATTGGGGTGGGTGATGGGGGGGCAATGGGCTTTGGGGGCTGCTGGGGGCTTGTAGTGAGTGATGAAGGGGGGCAATTGGGGTTTGCCCATGGGAGGGACGGGACACGAGGCACTGGAGAGGCTTTATCCCTCAAAAAATGCAATTTGGGGAGGCTCAAACCCTTTGGCATCCCCCGGCTCCTCGGTGTGACCCCATTAATCGCTGGCCTCGAGCTGCCCCGCAGATAAATCCTGGGGGCTCCGGGGGGGCTCTGCGCTCCCCATGGCGCTGCGGACCCCTGCGGGGTGCTCCCGGCACCTCGGGGTGCCTGCAGGGGGTCCCCCGGGGCTGCAGCTCTTCCCCACCCCATTTTGGGCTGTTTCTCCCCCCAATAAATCCCTTTAATTCTCTTCTGCCAGCTCCAGGAAGCACAAAGCCTCCTTCCTTCGCTCCGACCCCAAACTTTACCCACCACGGTCTCCCCATTCCCCTCATAGCCAAGCCCCCGACACCACACAGGGGCTGGGCAAGGTGACGAGCCCACCCCAGGGGGCACAAACCCCATGACATCCCCCAAAATGTGGGCACGAACCCAGAGCCAAAATTTGGGGCCCCCTGACCCCACAGCCCCCACACTGCGGTGTCAGGAAAAAGGACAAGAGGGAAAGGGGCTGCAGAGAGTGTGGGGGCTGCAGCAGGGGGCTCCCCCCTTAGTCTTGGGGACCCCCATGTCCCCTTGCAGCACCCCAGCCCCATGCCCAGCAGAATGGGGGATTTTGCTTGTGCCCCCACACCCGGGGCAGCCGTGGGTGCCCCCCCCAAGTTTGCTCCGCTCCTGGCTTCTGCAGCAGGGGTGGTGCTGGGGATGGGATGGGGACCCCAAAAAGCTGCCCCCACACCTCAGGGGAGGCACCAAACCCCACGGGGATAGGGCAGGGCTCCGGGGGGGGTTGGAACCTGCAGCAGGGAGCCAGGGCTTGCAGGAAAGCTGCCAAAGGGGATGTGGGGACGGGCTGCAGGGCTGGGGGCAGGTTTGGGGTGGGGAAGGTTTGCAGCAGGGGCACGGGGGGGTGGGTGGGGAGGATGCGGGGAGAGCTCGCTGTGGGGCTGGTGGGCAGCAGGAGCACGGGGCAGGGCTGCGGGGGGGACATGGGACAGCAGGGACATGGGACAGCTTTGCAGCAGGACAGTTCTGCAGCAGAGACACGGGGCAGCTCTGCAACAGGGCAGCTTTGCAGCAGGGACAAAAACAGAGCTGCAGCAGGGACACAGGACAGCCTTGCTGCAGGGACAAGGGGCAGCTCTGCAGCAGGGACAAAGGACAGCAGGGGCACAGGGCAGGAGGGACATGGGGCAGCTTTGCAGCAGGACAGCCTTGCAGCAGGACACGAGGAAGCTTTGCAGCAGGGACACAAAGCAGAGCTGCAGCAGGGACACAGGACAGCAGGGACACAGGACAGCCTTGCAGCAGGACAGCTCTGCAACAGGGACACGGGGCAGCTCTGCAGCAGGGCAGCTTTGCAGCAGGACCACAGGACAGCCTTGCAGCAGGGACATGGAGCAGCTCTGCAGCAGGGACACGGGACAGCCTTGCAGGAGGGACACGGGACAGCAGGGACATGGGACAGCTTTGCAGCAGGACAGCTCTGCAGCAGGGACACGAGGCAACTCTGCAACAGGGCAGCTTTGCAGCAGGGACACAAAGCAGAGCTGCAGCAGGGACACAGGACAGCAGGGACATGGGGCAGCCCTGCAGCAGGACAGCTCTGCAGCAGGACATGAGGCACCTTTGCAGCAGGGACACAAAGCAGAGATGCAGTAGGACCACAGGACAGCAGGGACACAGGACAGCAGGGACAAAGGACAGCAGGGACACAGGGCAGGAGGGACATGGGGCAGCTTTGCAGCAGGGACACGAAGCAGAGCTGCAGCAGGTCCCCAGGACAGCTCCGCAGCACGGCCGCTTTGCAGCTCTCCCCCAGCCCTGCCGCAGGCTCCCAGCGAGCGGCGCTGCCGACCCAGCGAAGCCCCGAAGCCGCCGGGGAGCTGCGGGCGGGCAGCGCAGCCCCAGCCCCCGGGGGGGGTGGGGGGGGTGCTCAGCAACACCCCCCCCCCTCTCCTCCTCCCCAGCACCGGCTGATGCAACAGCAGCGGTGCCAGGCGGTGCTTCGAGCCTCCAACACGAGGGCAGGCAAAGAAATGCGGGCTGCAGCGGCTGCTCTGAGGCTGAAATCCCAGCTCTGTGCCGTTTGTTTGCTTTGGGATCACCTGGCACCCCTCACCCCCCGGCTGGCCTGGAGCTGGGGACGTGGGGGGGGGCACCCCAAATGGGGTGTCACGGCAGCCCGGTGACACCGCATCAATCACAGCCCCCCCCCCCCTCCTCCTCCTCCTCCCCGGATGGCTCGCACGCTGCCGTGGCATCGATCCTGCCTGGCTGGCCTGTCAGCAGCTGAAATGCTCCAGCAGCTCTCTGGGATTTACAGCTCCCGCTGCCCGGAGCACGCCGTTCCCCCAGGATTAGCCCAGTTTGTCCCCAGCGAGGACAGAGCCTCGGCTTCCCGGTGACAGCCAGCTTGTCACCCCCAAACCCATGGCCAGCAGCTCGTTACCTGCTGCGAAGAGCACTGACCGACCCTACAAAGCTTCCCCTCTGTGCCCACAAGGGTCAAGCTGGTTTTGGAGGCTCTGTTCCCCCTTGCAGAGGGGCCCTGACTCCCCCCCCCACCATCAGGACAGGCTCCTGCTGCTCAGGGGACCCAAAGGTGCCCACCCCAAGCTGCCCC